GATGTTGAGAAATAGCTAATCCGCCATTTGATGGTGGCGGCCTTTTTGTAATTACAATGATACTGAATACACATAATCGTATTGTCATCAGAACCAAACATGTATGTACCAAATATCAGATCAATCGGTCAGCAGAAAGGAGGTAAAATTTGAACGAACAAATTTGATGCACATAAGCTAAATAAAATCGCCCAACATACAGATGATATTTTACCGACTTGTTCATGTTAGTGAACAGTAAACTTACTTCTAAACTGTATCCATCGAAGAAACAAAGTAAAATCAAACATATGTACCCGTATTGCACGTGATCAAGAACTTAACCGTAGGAGACGCTACAGGGCTGTATCAAGCTATTGTGACTGATCTATCAAAAATTGTCGTACAAGATATGTGTTGCTGTAAATTCTATCGAAAGCATAGTAAATTATCAGGAATATACCACGCCTTTCTAATCATATTTCGACATTAGGAATCAGTGCAAAAAATTCTGTATTCACCATTCCAGCAAAATGTTACTAAAACGCACACGAAAAAAACTTGTGGACCATCTCAAGTGAAATTGTTCATATTTTATTATTAACTTACATATATACCCAATAATATTTACAAATCAACCTTCTATTCACAATGCAGAGCAAATTTTTTTGAGCAAATAGAAACTACAGACGTAGTAGTAGTAGTACAAAAGTTTATTACAGACTCCATAAAGTTTGTTAGTTTTATTGCTATTAAAATTTACATGAGAAATTGGAAGAAGGTCAAAATGGCACTATTATGCTTTGGAACTCCTAAATTAACCTTAATTTTGTGTAATTATAAATTTGGAATTTCTACATTAATAACTAGAAACTTACACTTTGATTGCAGTCTATAATGAACTTACCTGTCTTGCCAAAAAGCCCGTTAAACTGCCAGTCTTAATGGCATCAATCGATTTATATGCTGTATTCCGAGGAGCTTGAATCATCAGAATTGTTGATGTCAATTATAAGGGGTTCAACTTGGGTGTCAATGATATTGTCCATATCCCACATTTTGGTTTCAACCTTCTCTTGGACATGGTCAATACATGTTCTCCATTTTGCTGGCGTAATTCTATCGACAGCAACATCAAACAGTTTTTTAAGGTCAGAAAACTTAAAAGTGCTGTTATTTGACGCCACGTATTGCTTGATGTCGGCCCAAATCAACTCGATAGGATTCAGTTCGCAGTGATAGGGAGGCAGCCTGAGAATCGTTTATTTTGGTTTTTGGCCATTTCGTCAACAATTTTTAAATCATATTTATACATATGTCGCTTGACTATATTTATCAGCTCAGCTTTGACCATTGTTTGGTCGACGTCGATCTTCTTTGAGATAAGCCACTGTTGAATGTCTGCCTTTTTGGTGGCCATTGTTGGAATTTTTTCCAATTTTCTGGAGTGGTACGGGGCATTATCCATCACAATAATTGCGTTATCATCAAGTGTCGGCAAAATTTTTGAACCAATTTTCAAATGAGTTACCATCCATTTCTTCGTGATAGTCTCCAGTTTTTTTGGATTCAAATGCCCACAATGCTTCAGGAACAAATCCATCTACGCTACCTATGTGGCAAATGATCAGGCGTTTTCCCTTGCCTGAAAGTAATTAGTTATTTTACTTCTCAGCGAGCGCACTAAATGACGAAATTAAGCAACTTAC